AGCAGATCAAAAGATTAAAATAAAAAAATAAAAAAAAATGAAAAAAAAATAAAAAAATAAAAAAAAAAAAAATCATAAAAAATATTGAGTATACTTACGATGAAGAACAAACTTACAGAATATTGTATATATGCATACACGCAATCCAGTAACGAATAGACAGGAAACAATTGCCGGCATTACTTCCGGTTGGCTAAATGTAACCTCACTAGCTTGCTGTCTGACTGGCAGACTGACTGCCTTGTCAAACTTGATATAGAAACAACCAACCAACTAGACAGCTACCAGTAGCTTGCACGGTATCATTGACGTTGTCACCGATGCCATCGTTAAACTACACAATTGTTTCCTTCTTGCGTCAATTTAAGCTTTAATTGCAATTTCTGCTATTCAACCCCAAAGTTATACATATATATATATATATATATATATAGCTATATATATATCTATATAGATAGATACATATATATATATATATATGTATATATAGAAACATAAATATATCCAAAGGTGTCTGCTTATACATATAAGTATAACATATAGCCGGCTGAATCCCGAGTTGCTTTAATTTTAGTGAATTACACAATTCTACGCTCACACATACGAACGCATATAAGTTTACATATATCATATGTATGCATGTATATGATGAGCTACATTTACGTATGAATGGCGCTGTGAAATTTTCTTAGCACGTTGGCGCAGAATGTTTAAACAGAGAGGTGTGTTCGTATATGTAGGTTTACGCGTTGTTGTTAAATCAGCTTCAGTTATTTTGGAGTTGGTGTTTAAAGTGTGTTCTTGTGCATTCAAGTGACTGCAACGAACAACGTACGGGCCACCGTGTGTTTTCATTTTTCTTTTCCCGTTCCCTTTTTCTTTTATTCTTTTGTCGACTTTCTTACTTGTGTAGTAAGCAAAGTCATGTGCCTGTCGTTGACAATATCATTGAACTCATTAAAGTGAGCTTACTAAGCTTACGCGGCAAGCCCCCCAGTCGCTTTAATGTCACACATAATTAACATGGTTGTAATTTTTGGAAGATTTCAAGCATTAAACTGCTGAAATGTTAACAAGCTCACGTAAACGTACACACGTGCCTATCCGCACTAACTTACATATACAATCAGCGAAGTGTTAAGATAATAATATTCACTATATACATTGACTTTAAGAGGTTACAGCTTTTACCTATGCATATTAATTAGGGCCAGTTTATTAAATTTAAAGCAAAATTTATAGTCGTTTCTTAGACATTTTGCAAAGCTAGCAACACTATGCATATATCAAGAACAATATTGTTCATCTTCAAAAGCATATTTTTAAAGCTGATTGTACTTTATTTTCTACAAATACTTTTCGTAGTAAAGCAAAAAATGACTTATGTATCACATACATTACATACTTTTGAATTCCGCACATATATTATACAATCCTGAGGATTGTTATAAAAGAAAAACTGTTTACAACAAATAATCAAAAGCCAAGATCGTAACGTAATGAAAAGAAAAAAAAGTATAGTCATCTTTGTCTATAACGGATGACTGACTAAAATAATTTACCGAACCTTTAAACTTAGTCTAGACGCGGGGAGAAAACAAGAGATAAAAACAAGCCTCTTGTATCTATATGGGTTCAATACACAGGCACAAGTACAAATGAATGAAAACATATATATGGCAGATATATAAATTGCCTCTCAAGAAATTCCAAAGAAATATATATCAATGCTCTCAGATCCCACGAAAGTGGGCATCGTTAGGTAAATGATTTTCAGGTCTTTTACGCATTTACTGCGTTGTGTAGATAGCCAAGCAGTTCTGTGTGATGCCTTTTTAGCCTATTGTACGAATGCGGATGGGAAATCTAGCCCGAATCTCTAACTTTTCTAAACAATTCTTAATAGACATTCAATCGCTCTTCTAGCGGCTTATTGGATACGGAATGAAAAATTTTCATGGTAAGTCGTCGTTGGATGAATATCGTTTGTCACTCATACCAATATATAGATGAGTTTTAAAGTAATCTGTTATTTTTAGATGTCCTAGTCCTCCTATTATTATTATTATTATTATTATTAACTGTGTGGGCAATCCGTACAGCGACTTGAAAGATATATTGCATTATTGCATATATTGCATATATTGATTAGGAGCAGTGTTAGGATACAGCGTTCCACGTTATAAGGTGCACGTCAAACACTTGGTTGCTGATTCTGCAGATGAATGTGATGGGACGTCTCACACGTCCCTTAATTGAATCTGCATGAAACGGCGATATCCATGTTTTTCAAGTGGTACCTGAGCGAATTATGATCTGCCTAGAAGCTTGTAATCAAGCGTAGATCCAGGAACTTACATGTCCTACTAAATATTTATAGCAACTTTTATAACTATGTCTTCTTGATTAACATCTGTTAAATATGGAGTATTTTTCTACAGTTTTTTGAATGCAGTTGCCCTGTAGGCGAGGCGAGACCATTGAATGGCTGATGAACGGGCAACCGTGAACTTTCTATCGACATCCGTCGGATAAAGCTGACAAATATGTCCAGCTGTTCTATCAAACATAACTGCGACGATTTCGAATCCTTCATAGGAATATTTCGATTGCACCAAACGTTTTATGTGTCCAGATTTTGCTCACATTGCGAAATCATACAAAAGATAAGAAACGAAAGTGCTTGATGCCTAATATGTAAACAAAATGGTGATTTTGTTAAGCAATGAACCAATCAACCGTCTCGTTATATAAGTTAATCCTGCGATATGACAAAGGAGGATATTGCAATAATCACGGAGCTCGACAGAAAGCAGTGGATCGATGAACCGAGCATACCACAAATTTGATTCAAACTATCTTAACCATTTTCTGGCAGAGCAAAATCTGGAGGAATTCATGCGTAGGAATGGGAAAGGGTCAAATCCTTGCGATGTGATAAGCATTCGCGGTCCATAAGTTCTACCACCGGAAGCAGTTATGTCTGCAGTAAATTTTCCAAAATGTATACGTAGGCTTGCCACGCTTGCCAAACAGGTATTGTGGCATTTACTCCTGCAGCGAGCACTAAGCGGATATCTGCGATATTAATGCGGACGTAACAGCGGTGAGTCGAGTTGTCTCAATTGAAAAAAATATCAGCACTAAAATGCTAGAATATGAGTTAATTGAGGAGAAGCTCTCTGCTTCTGCATATGATATCTTGAGTTGAATGAGTAATAGCATAGAAGACACTAGAAATAATCCAGCAGTTTGAAAATGTCACAATCTTTAACCGCTCAGAAGCGTTTCGTAAAAACCCACACTCTATTTCACATATGTTAAATTTTCTGAAATAGTAAAAAATCTATTGGATTTGGACTTGAATACCGTATAGTATAATTAAATAGGTAAAGGCATACTTTTCGTGGAAGCCCGTATACAAGATGGGGACTTGAAGCGTGAACCGATGCGTCTCAAATTTAGAAAATCTACTTTTCTTATCAAGGGTCTTATTATATTTCATTTAGTTTTGACCTAAAGTATAGACAACTTGACTATGGTGGTGGTCCCCAACGATCACTTTCAGGTTGAATTACGTGTATAAACCAGTTGTCACCATTAAAACTTCAATATGAAATTTTTGCCATATAAACGCTTACTTCTCGTTGGAAGGGTTTCAAAACTTGGCCCACTCGATGCATGCTTCTCACGTCTCTTTGTGATTGGTGTTGAAAAAACTTTGTTTTTCATATAATGACTTTTTCAACATAAAGTCCGATATTGGAAGTGGGTTCAAAAGCAATCAGATCTGGTGTACAGCATAAAAACTCAAAAAAGCGAAAAAAAAACAAACGTTTGACATTCGATTACATTGGGTTGGTATGGACGATTTATTTTCGTGCTGTACTGCAAGGTCACCAATAAAATAACCGACGCAATACCCATTTTCTTTTATGGATAGAGACGAGGAGATAGACATAGATAAGAGACGAGGAGATAGACACAGTTATGATTCTAGTCAAGAAAAATATATGTTTTATATGTTTTGTCTCTGAAACTCTGTACTGTGCATTGCAAATGTACGTACGTATAGGCAGATAATAATTGAAGCTTTATATCAAATGAGGGAGTACTAATGACTACGTAAAAGAAACGTTACGTCGCTCTGTTATAGAAATGTATGGCGCAAGACTAAGTCGTACAATAAACGGTATATAAAGCAATGACTTTGTTTCCTCTCTTCTTTTAAAGTGACCTCCAGGTTCGACTATTTGGCTCAACGTCGTCTATTGCTATTATTTTTTGCTATTGTTTTTTCACTGCTAATTTATATGCTACACAAATATTGAGCTCATTACTGTATTCCGTCTTATGGAAATGGTTCATAATGGTGTTTGGAGAATATTTAATTCTTGAGCGACGTCATGTTGCGCCGATCTTCCTCGGTCGTTTGAAGATTGACTGCTCGGCCAGACTGCAGCGTGTCTTTAAAATGGAATAGAAAGCGTGTAGACTCTTTGCTTGATAGTGAATCAACCGATAAAACATCATCGCTATAAGCATTGCGAACTTTTTCAAAAGTCGGCCAAGCATAAGCGTCTTGCTAGCAGTAATATTCCAAATTATAATGAATTTTTTTGGAAATTTCGCCAAAGTTTTAAAAAGCACTTACTTTCTTCTTAGTGAATTAAAAAAATAATAATTTCAAAAAAAAAGGCTGTGGGTTGGCATTTTTTTAAATGCTTTAGAGGTCGGCTTGATTGATTAACTTTCCCCAAAAGAAATGCCAGGAATTTTTCCCTTGACTTAATATTAGAGAATTGCTTATAAATAAAAAAAATATATATAATTTAAAAGCGTTCATGGTAGGAAATATGCATTGGTAATATAGCAGCGCTTATATTGTCGGTGAGTCTCCGATATGTGTATAAATTTATTTAAAATTATTTACAAGTTGGACTTTGCTCGCCAATACTTTATTAAAATATTATAATTTTCTATTTTATATTTGTACTTGCCTGCTGCTTTGTTATGTAAATAGGTTTATTTAATACCACCCATGTGACTGTTTCGTGGCAGGCTGGAGCTGTTGTGGAACCATCATAAGTCATGTAGTGATCGGTGTCGGGCAAAAGACCACGTATTGATAAGCGTTTCACAAATGCCTCATCACCACCGTAACGTATGCGTTCCAGCTGATCGGTAAGCATACGCAGCTCAGCGTTTGATAAATCTCCCAACTGAATTATTAAAATAAAAAATTGCAAAAAAAAAAAAGTATAAAATAAAAAGTTTAAAAAATTATTTTATTTTTACTGCTTCTATTATATATTATATTACCTACCTGTAATAATATAGAAACACCCACAATGCCTTGGGCTCTGTTCAGAGCATCCGAAAAGTTGTTATATAATTGAGAATTATAGCCAAATATCTGTATCTGTAAAAGAAATAAGCATAAAGAAATCTATGCATATATATTGTTACATATACATGTGCATATCCGCACGAATGCCTATGCAATGTGAAAAGACGGCACTATTATAAATTGTAATCAAATAAATACATTTGCTTAAAGAGTACATACTTAAGTAAAGCATATGCACATCTTGAAATATCTGAAAGAATCCAATGCCAGAGGATTTGAATGCACTTTAGCATTCAATCGAATGGTGAAAATAGAATAAAAGCTAAAATTCTGTTTAAGCTAATGTTTATATATCCATAACAAACATACATTTGCAACATTTCGTTAACTTTGATGTACACACCATTACGTATGCGCAAACATATGAAGGAATACGTATTTTCCACAAGGCATCTGCTTAACACATCAATCAATAATTTCCGGAACTGAAAGGACGAATGTCGTCTTTAACAAAAACACATTCATATTATTCTTGGAGCTTAAAGCTTCAACCCACAAATAACACCTGGGCAAGCTTCATTTTACTTTGACGAATTTGTTTACGACTTACACTAACTTTACCTGCTACGATGTTATTTGTGCTACTTTCAATGCAGCGAATATGGCTTAAGAACGTTAAAATTCGAATTGCTGCCCCACCCCTATGATTCTCGCGATCTCATATCTAGCGATTGTGATCCCGTTTAAAAATGTCAAATAAATGATCTTGAGGATCTTCGAAACGTTAGCAAGGCGTTGGCCTGTTTTTATCGCCCTCAAATGGCGTTATATTGATCAACAAAGTCTAGCTTAGCAAAAATTTACGATGAGGAAAAAATTTTTTCTCCAATCCCGGGACTTATTGATCAATGTAATACAATATTTATACAAATAAATGTAAATACGTAGGCGTTCAATAAGCAGGCAATTCAAACCACACCACTTTGAGTTACCATCGGCGAACAAGAGTATACTAAATTGTGTTCTTCCCTTTGTAACGCTTAGAGATCAGCCGTGAAAATCTCGTGATATTAGATAATCTGAAATATTTTAAACGTTTATCCACTTCACCCACAGCCTTGCATAATGTTCTGAACGCTGGGTTCAAATACGTTTTGTATTTTTCGATCAATTTTATATCATTTTAAAGTTTCGAACTCACTAAAAGATCAGCGAGTTAATCATTGAAAGCAAAAATACTTACTATTGGTCATTTCCCATTTCCCATTGTTACTTAGAACCAAATCGTTCTTAAGAAGCACTTGTACTTGAAATAGTAAAACAGTTCAATTAAATTTTGTCTTCAGAGTTAAAATATTCTTCTGAAATATTTCAATAGAAGCCGACTGGGAGGTATTTTGAGTGTCGTTGCATTCCTTTACACTTTGCAAAATATCCTATACGAATGCCTTGGTGAGAAATTTTTCTTGACTTTTTTTTTTTAAGAACAAACACATATGCATATTATCAGTAGAGTTGTAAATATTGAAGTTTATTATTTAGTTTGCCTCTTAGTTAGCGGAAGAAGATAAAATTAAGTAACGTGGGCGGTTGATGGAACACTACTGCAGCATTCTTGTCTGCAGTTGGGAATTCGTTTATTGGAAATAGTGTGTGAGTGAGAGTGAATGAGTTAAGTTACGTTGGTCGATCAAATTTTCAAAACGGTACTATTTGACGTTTGTCATCAACAAAGAAATAAAACGATTTCCAATTATCGATTTGATGGAGGCGATATCAGATACTGATACGTACACTTTACATATTCAACATAACTCTATTAATCGGTCCGTACATCCGTCTAGATATTCTTAACTCGTAATAACCGATGATTATGTGCTTGTAGTTCTGCAAACTAAGCTCGAAAGTGAATGCGTTCCGGCCAAAAGACAAGCTGAGAAAACTTCACAACAGAAAGATATAGTATACTTTATAGCTCAAATTACGATATATAATCGATATCGTTCTAAAGTATTTACCTGGTCCATACAAAAAAAAAAAAAAAAAAAAAAAAAAGGCAAAAACTTGTAAACCGTACCAGCAATTAAACTCTCAGTATGAAATGTTCGTCTTAAAGTGAGGGTCGTCAGAGGGACTTGTCAGCGTCGTAGATGTCTAATGACACAGGGATTAATAAAGTAAGAGCTTTACCCAAACACCTATAAATTTCTTATGTGTTTTCTTTATATTAGAAAGTGAAAAAATACTGAGCTTGAGCAATGATGTCGTTTTAATTTTACATTCCTCGCATAGTTGAAAAGCCTTTACAAAAAAACTTACTTCCAGTTTGCGTCCATCATGTACTAAACGGCACATTACTGACCAGAAGAACACTTCATATGAAAACTTCACATGCTAAACTGCTAAGTAAAATCTCTAAATAAAGTAAAAGGCGATGATTACTCTTAGATTTTGTAAAAATAATTCAATAATGATATCATGCATAAAATAGTGGAGCTACCTATCTACCTATCTAGATTGTTGCTTCTCGCTGCATGATCCTATAGATATGAGATTTGGAGTTCAACTGTCACTTTTGTGCAGTTTTTCGCGCAGTAAGTCCTTTAATACACGTATAAGTATCCTACAAGTTTCCATACCGTTCCGCATTACTGCCAAGCCGAGCAGATAAAAACGTTGTACCCCTTATCATCGTTTATGCGTTCACGAAGGGCAATCGCGTTATTCGCATGAAGGTTAACACGAGATATTTTTAATAACTAATAATAAATGTCGTAAAAAACTTCTCCCCACATCCTGTTCAACACTTGAGATTACTGTGTGTCACATCGGTTTCGACTCGTTTTTTCAGCGTTGATGCCACTTCTTAAGCATTCCATGACATTCTTTCGGTCAGCTCTTTTCAACTTGCAGTCGGTGTCGTTGTCATCGTCTTAGATCATTTTTCTTTGTTTTTCCCTGTTGTCCTGTGTCTGCGCTCTAAGAGTTCGAGTAGTAACTTGCTTCCCAGGACTACTGCAATTAACGTGAAACTGTACGTTAAGCTGGTATCCACCTCAGTGTGCAAAGCCATTTCCAAGTTGGATAGAAAATCTTAACTTTGCAGTAATTTTTATGCCCTTTCGGCTGGACTTTCCTTGAAATAACTGTCCCTATTTATGCTGAGCTCTTATTTTCATTGAAAGCCTGGCCCTGGCCCTTAGGGTGTTCAACGTTTCTTATTAGGTCTTGTAAAGACTTCTCGATATCCATTACTGCACTTTTGTATTCTTCGGCAGTACTGTGCTGTGACTGTAATGCTGCCCATTCTCACCTTTATGGGCGTTGTGTGTGCGTACGTGTTGCTATTAGTTTTACTAGTCGTCTTATTGTTATTATATACGTACACGACGGTATTCTAGTAAACATGTATGTATTTTCCTTCTATTATTGTCTTTATAATTGTTGCTGATTTGATATCGCAGATAAGTCTACTGACGCTAATTGTTTTATGTTATATATGCATATTTATTTATTCTCTATATATGTGTAAATAAATTTGCAAAGTATGGGTTTATCGGCTGCCAGGTAACGTAGATCATATGTATTGAAAACTCAAGCGTATTTGAGATTGAACTCGCGATCATTAAGTTGTTACTCGCAATCCTTTGCCTGCTCCGCTACTGATCTCTCTCTCTCTCTCTCTCTCTCTCTCTCTCTGTCTGCCTCTTTGTAAGTTCATATGTGTGCATGCGGGTTGTCGTTGTAGTTACTACAGTGTTGCTTGCAAACGCTATTGTTCTTCATATTCTTTTGTTATGACTCTTGCTTATTACGTTTCTGTTTATTTGCGGTGGGCGCATTTGATTCCACGACGTTATTTAGCTTTCGTTAGCATTCGTTTACAATGTTCCCTTAGAAATTTATACTTATCCGAATAGCACACTGTGTGAAAAATGCATCAGCAGTAAGATATGTATTCAAATTGCTGTTCATCCAATGTTCGCGAAACTAGCTACCCCATCCGTTCGAAAATATGGTTTACATTTGATAAAATATCTTGCGGTTAACTGAGCCACTGGTTATCCTGAATTTTATTTTCTTTTTTTATACGCACCACTGAAGCATGGGGATACATTCATTTGTCATAATGTTTGCAACACCCTAAAGACAATTTCAGAGATCCTAAAAAGCATTTATATACTTGGTCAGTATGAAATTCTGAACTGATTAAGCCGTGTCTGTCCGTCTACATGGTGCGGGTTGCTGACAATCGCCTGGTTGAAAAAATGGGAATAGTGCCTTGAAATTTAGTAGAAACATTGCAAGTTTTCTTACGCAGATTAGAATCGAACAAAGTCGATCGAAGAATACGCCTGAAGCAGCACATAAGCTGAGAACGCCTCTGTTTTCTAAAAGAAATAAAAAATTGGTTTTTTGCTGCTTGCAACTTGCATTATTCACCACAGCAGTAAAAATGTGCCAGAAATTTGAAAGTAGATTTTATGGGTGATGCTGTAGTATTTATACAAAAATAGTAAAAATTAACCACGCCTACCCTATATTATAGTGATGTCGTATAATTCGGTATTCGGGCACGACCCAATATGATTTTCGCACTTGCTTGGGCTAATTTCAAGGCGGAAGGACGTGCGTGCTCTAGCTAACGAGAAAGTTATATTGAAATTTGAAGCAAGAATAATTTTTCCGTAGAGGTATCTACGATTTAAAAGGCAAGGAATGGATAGATAATCGTATAATTTTGTTTATATAGGAATGCAGTGAAAGTGTATTAAATTTATTGAATTAAAATTTCATTTTAAATCAATTGCTCTCTCACTTGAGTGACGTGCATATAATATTGCATTATATAATATTGAATTGAACTGAATGAACATATATATATATATATTTTTTTTTGTAATAATTGTTAATAATCCTTACAATAAATTCTCGAAATTTCAAATTTTGGATTTGTGTCGTAAATTTCACCCAAGAATTACGTAGATACCTTCTCTACAAACGTATGACAGCGGTGTCTCAAATAAATTTCCGTTAGTCTTACATTCATATAAAAATATACGCACATATGT